CCCCCCCCCCCTCTCTCTCTCTCTGTGTGTGTGTGTGTGTGTGTGCAGTTTGTCTTGTTGTATTCGTTCATTCCTTTTTTGTTGTTGTTGTCGTTTCTATCTGTGACGGGTTGGTTTCTTTAATTGTAGCCACTGGCGGGAGGCCGGAGCAACTCCACGAGACAAGTCGGGCAAGAAGGAAGGCACAATCACGCACATCAACTTACACATTTTGTTTGTTTGTTTGTTTTTCTGCGGTGTTGTTTGGAATAGCGGCGACAGGGCACTGCGTAACGGGATTCCCTTTTTTATTTTTTTATCTTTTGTTACTTTTGTGTGTGTTGGTGCGCTGCGCATAAGTTGCATCACGTGTCTTCCCGTATTTCCGCATCTTTTGTGGGAAACATGCGTGTTGTCGTTTCCTTTGCTGCTGGTTTGTTGGCCGCTTTTTTGCACCGCCCCGTCGATGACGCGTTTCCCGCGGAGTGTTACCGCAGCATCGAGAATCCACTTCAATTTCGCAACAAGAAGCGCGATGGTGAAGTCTTTTCACAGCGCTACGAGCCGTACCAGCTGGGAGAAGTGATTCCAATCACGCACGATACCGCCCTTTTCCGTTTTCTTCTTCATGCGGATGAGGAGTTCAATCTGAAGCCGTGCTCGACGCTACAGGCTTGCTACAAGTACGGGGTTCAGCCGATGGAGCAGTGCCACCGCTTCTACACACCTGTCACGGCCAACCACACAAAAGGATATTTTGACATCATTGTGAAGCGCAAGAATGGTGGCCTCATGACAACTCATCTTTTTGGAATGCACGTTGGGGATAAACTGCTATTCCGCTCCGTGACCTTCAAGGTGCAATACAAACCGAACAAGTGGAACCGTGTGGGCATGATAGCAGGTGGCACTGGCTTTACGCCAATGTTGCAAATTATTCGTCATTCTTTAATGGAAAAATGGAATGACGGTAGTGTGGACAATACAAAATTATCATTTCTTTTTTGTAACCGCACAGAAAAGCATATTTTACTTAAGGGTCTCTTTGACGATTTGGCGGAGCGTTACTCCAATCGGTTTAAAGTGTACTACACCGTGGATCAGCCTGTGGAGCCTGAAAATTGGAAACATTTTGTGGGTTATGTATCCAAAGAAATGGTGCAACAAACAATGCCTGCACCGGATGAAAAGAAAAAGATCATTATGCTCTGTGGCCCTGACCAACTGCTGAATCATGTGGCAGGCACACCCATGGGAACAATGAGCGCCATGTCAAGTGGGATGAATATTCAT